GCTATATCTAAAACTTTTTTTTTACTAAAACAATCAATCTTGTCAATTAATTGAAAGTTGTAGAGCTCATCAAGATGTATCTAATAGTGTAAAAGCGTCAAAATCAGCTTGATGATTCTTGAGATATCTTTAAAAAATGTCTTGTGCACATATAAAATTTCTTATTTTTTTAAAAAAATTTTATATATACACAAGATGTTTTTTAAAGATATCTCAAGAACTACTAGACCAATTTTGACACTTTTACACTATTAAATGCATATTGATGAGCTATACAACTTTTAATTAATTGACAAGATTGATTGTCTTAGTAAAAAAAAAAGTTTTAGATATAGGACTGCCACATTTAGATTAATAATAAACTTTACTTATAAAATTTTGCAGATCCTCTCCAGGTGACAAATGGATTATCAATTAAGTGTTTTTGTATTATAAAAAATTTTATTAGTTATTTTTAATTTTTACAAAAACTTCTGTAATTTTATACTAAATTATATAGTTGTTTAATCTTGCATATAAAATAATTAAGTTTTATATATTGTTAAATTTTTTATAGAAACCTGTCTCCATGGTGACCCTACATGTAGCAGCCAATCATATTTTAGAATTAATACAATTTTTTTTTATATTTTTTTATTTTTATTATAAAATTTTTAAAATTTTTAACTAATTTTAATTGGCCAATAGTAAGCAACTTATTTTATATCCACATACTTAATTTTGATTAGCTATTCATATAGGGTCACCATGGCGATCCGTCACCATAAACTAACGCTCTTACATATTTTAAATATATTTTAAAGTTATATGAAAGTAATTATAAATTTTGAAAATTATTTAATTAACAAACAATACTTATAAATAATAATAACAAATCAATTATTAAAGTGCACAATAAATATTTCTATATAAATTTACAAATATAATTAAAAGTATAATACAAGTTCCAAAAATATTAAATAATACAAAACAAACAAATTTATTTAAACTTCTAGAACTAACTATAAACTTTACTACAACTCTTAACTAACCCTAACTTTTTTGCAGGTTTTAACTACTTGCAGAAAACTTTGGCTTATTTTGTAATTTTTTTAAATAACATATATTCTTAATATAATCACATATAAAAAAAATATTATATGGAGATGAGTTAATAGAAATCAAGCAAATTTTTTATAATAAAATTTTTTCATAACTTTAAACAAGAATAACTTAACAAAACTTGACAAAATTTAATAAAAATTTTTTAAATTATTTTTACAAACTTGTAAAATTAATTTAAAAAAAATTTATTAAATTTAATTAAGTTTTTGTTAAGTTATTCTTGTTTAAAGTTTTAAAAAAACTTATTAAAAAAAATTTGCTTAATTTCTATTGACTTAACCTCATATACTAAAATGAATTTGGATTAGAATATTTATAAAAAACTTTATAATTATTTATAATTTAATAATTTTAAAATTAAAAGTTTTTCACTTTAAAATTACTTTACTTAAAAACTCTTTCCGGTACATCACCGGAAAATTCGTTCTAAACAAAATTTTGACAAAAAACTCCCCCCTTTTCTTAAACAAACTTAAAAGAACCAGGGCCTTAGTGCCCGCGAAAAGAAAATACTTCGTGACAAACATGGGCAAACAACAAAACAAGAAACTCAAGCAGTCTCTAAACAAAGAGGAAAAAGTTTTCGAATTTTTCACTGCTGAAAATAAAGGCAAAAATTTAGAAAACCAAAGCATCCAGGAATCTGATAGTCAAACAGTAACCACTACAGATACAGTCTTCTCTGAAGCTAAAAACGCAGAAACCAGTTGGGCTGCACAAATAGAGGAGATAGAAGAAGCAAAACTAAAGAACGTGGAGGCAGAGACTTCCCAAGTGCCTCAAAGAACACGTAAAACCACAGCCAACTCAAAAACAAACCACGTTCAAACAAATAACAAAACAAACGCGTACCAAACAACAAATGGAACAAAACAACCCAACACCACTGAGGTCGACCACCAAAAACAAACTGAGACACGTAGTGTAAATACGAAAGCAACAACATCAAAGTCCAACGAAACCGCAAGCCCAGACACAGAACACGTGTCTGATGAAAACGACCAATCAGCAAACAGTACTTCTCCAAGTCACGAGAAGACTCCTGAATTTACCAGTTTTACAGAAACTGCTACAA